ATCGAAATAATACGAATTGCTAGGAGACTATCCTTGGAACGGCTTCTCGATGTACGCGCGTGCTTGAAATCGTCCAGTTTGAACAGCATCGTGCAGTTACAGAGAAGCGTCGACTGTATTTGGCGATGGTAAGACTTAAAATCCTAATGTCCAGGGACATTCGCGTGCCGATGATTCGTCTGGTACAGACTATACTATGCTCGGCCATCCTTACACGACGTGTACAGGGAAGCGAGTGATTGCCTTATCGATAAGAAAAGAAGCAATGATTACACGATGAGGAAGTTCAGCAGGAGTGGATCGGAATTCGCCAAAGGAGAAGATGGCGTAAAGAGTCTACGCAAACGATGCGACGACGATCGGTCCATTATTGGGCCGTACGATTCGTATATAATCAGGAATTGCTGCAAAATGCTTAGGACGCATGTGCAAATCAGAAGTGAATACGAAAGAAGAATCGACATTTATTTGTTAGTCTTTCATTGATTTATCTGAAATTCCGGTTAAACTAGAGAAATAAAGATCGATGACCGTATTGTCGCGACAGTCGAGGAGACTCGACAAATTGCATGTCGAAGAATTCACGATTATACACATCTGTTGCATAAATAAACGGTGCGCAAACGCTGTATAAACGCTGAAACGAAGACGAATAACAACAGACAAACAGCTCGGGGAAATCAGAATTCGGTCTCGCGCGGTACGTTGAAGGAGTTTCCGTCGGTGAAAACGATTCGGTTGACCAACAAATAAAAAATAAAAATCATCTTTCCATCGAAACTGGTCGTTCTTACATCCTTACACCTAATTTATATACATAGAGACAGGCAACATGAACGCGTGAGGTGTCATGCACCAGTTTACATAATCTTTCTTGTTAGCCTTTCGATCGAATTTGAACAATATATTACAGAATTTACCGAGAGGCTATGTACACGTAACGGTAGGCTCGACGAGTGACAAAAGCGTTCGTTTTCGGCCGCTTTGGTATTTACACAAGTGATGTTTATTCGTGAACAACTCTGATTCTCTTTCGATGCATCGAAAGCTATGTATACATATATATGCGCCTGACATTATTACGTATCGATAACGGTATGCGCGCAAAGTACCAAGTAACAAGTTTCTTTTCTCATTTGGTACGATATGTTTGGTACCGATGCGCAGATCGTTTGATCGTTCATCGAATTGCGGCTAGAAAATTTTCATCGAATTCGTTCGGTTCGAACGTCACAGTTGTCACAGTTGTCACAGTTGTCACAGACCGGTGACCGGTGGACCGGTAGCCGATCAGAAGCTGCAGAACCGATAAAGTCTGTGCAATAAGTTGACGGTTGACGGTTGATTTTGCAAACCACTCGCATCTGTCGTGTGTAGAACTTGAGTATCTCGCAAAGGAAAGTTCTTCCTGCTCGTTCACGAAAAACTAGTCAACCGAATCCGAAGGTCCCTGACCCCAGCGTGACTTTATTCTTGAAGTTTTACTCGAAGGACAGGAAGAGGCGACAATATCGTCGGACATCTTCCTCTTGACGCTTAGCACGATCCCACTTTTCGGAACGAACTTGGAGCGGGACGGTGTCATCCTGGACACGTTGCTTTCCACGCTCGGTGGCGTGGATGGAAACGGTGGGAAGTCCTCGTCTTCGAGACCGGGAGGCTTTGGTTGCTCTGGAGCCAAATTACGTTTGAAAGGTTCCGCATAGGGACTCTTGTACGCGGTGGCTTCGCGCGAAGGATCCCCGACCGACGTTAAGCCCGACAGAGGCGAAGAGATGGGCATCATCGTCGGGACGGGAGTCCCTACTATTGTCGGAAGAGTCGAAGAAGCGGTGGACAAAACCGACTGTGCGGTATGCTCGGTCACCGGGCTTCCCGACACCGTTGCAGCCGCTACGGCTGCAACAGCGGCCAGTTCCTCCTCCGCTTTCTTAATTAAATCCAAGTCGCTCAAAGAGCTTAGGGTACCCTTGCTCTCCTTCTCCTTTGACAGAGATTCTCTGTGAGCGATCGCTTCGAGCGGAGACTTCTCGGGATTGGATTTATTCGATCCACCGATTGAGATTTTTCCGGGCGATGCTGAAGAATATTTCTCCGAGTTTTGGTAGATGGACGAGTTGGTAGTTAAGAACGTGGCACTAGGCTTGGATGGTAGATACGGGTCTACTTTCGAGCTCTCCTGTCGCTTCACGTTCGCTAGAATTTCTTGTAAATTTGGCGGTATAGTTATATTTGATACTTTGTCGAGAATCGGCTGCGTGAATTTAGAAATACCCGGCGGTGGCGGTGGCGTAAACGATCTTGTGTCCGGAGGACTGTACGCTTCTTCGCAATCGTCGGTGACTGGCGGGTCTAGCCCTAGGCCCTGAAATAAATCAGTCGATTATTATTACATTCGAAATGATTTCGTTGCAACGCGAGCAACTGTGCGCCTCTAAACAATTCATCTCGATACTCCGACTCGTGTCGCTCTTCTATTATACTTTGCCGATGTAGGACAAGTGTACGAATAAACGAATTATGTGCGCGGGCGCGTAGTGTACTCTTATTTACTTCTAAAAACAAAAGGTGTGTGTGTGCATGTATCACATATACATACACACGCGCATATACGCATGTCATCATATATATATATACATGTATACACACGCGCGCGCGCATATATACGTATATACATATAAGTGTGCGTGCGATTTCGATAGTAACAAGAATACAAAGATCACACATGTACCGCAACTAACGAATTAATGCGACAACGGCTGGCTATCCGAATTACTTGAATCTCAACGTTCTTGCACCTTACCGTGGAAACAAGCTTGCCATTACGATACGACTCGGAAAGTCGTCCGATTCAAAGAAAAATAGAATTCTCAAGACTGGAAAGGAATAGAGCTACCAACAGATTCTTACTTCGTGACGATTATCGGCACGCTTTTGCACAATTTGGAAAATGTTTGACGATTTAAAAATAAACCTCACTGATGCGTAGCAATACGTGGAACGGAAGTAGAGAGATTAAGTAATGTGTACCAAAAACGAGACGCGTAAAGTTTTTTAAGGAACGACAGAAGAAGGAAACTGTTCCTTCGTGTGAAGCAAAAATCTAAAGCAGCTCAAGGATAGGAGTAGGATACCATAGGTAAATCGAAATCAATTTTATTTACAACAGGGCGATAGGAGAAACAATAACAATCAATTTCGTAAAAAGTAAATCTTGTTAAAATTCTCACCGGCAAAGTAGGCGTTGATTCACCAAGAAACGACGAACTAATGCTTTGTATTTGTTGCTTCTGTTCTTCGATTTGCCGATTTAGCTCCTCCATTTTCCGTTGAAGATCGTTCGAATTTTTACTGGAAGAAATAATACCATTATCGATCGTCGGGCTGTTCATTCCGATCGCCATTGAAATCGTTGAAATCGACGGTAGGGTTGTAGCTGTAACGCAAGTAGTGGAGGCGACTCGTAATTCGCGGTCGGTTTGTTCCTCCGCGTCCATTTGACCGGGGCTGTAAGGCTCGTCGCCGTCGTCGTCGATCGGTGCTTTACCAGGCGAGGAAGTCAGGTCGATCTTCGAGGAGAGTTCCGGGACGATTTTGCATATAGCCGCAGTGTCGAGTATCGTGCTTCTCGGCATTCCTATGTGCGCTTTGTTCAAACTGTCCAGAGTGGTTTGCGTGACAGTGTGTTGCTGCTTCTCTTTCACGGAAACGATCGTGGATTTCTGATAGATGCTGCCGGTGGTCGCCGCGGTGGGGGAAGAAGACGCAGCAACGACCGTGGAGGTCGCCGTGGCCGTTGCGGCAGCCGTGACCGTGCCCGTGCCTCCGACCACACCAGCGACGCTCGAGCCGCACGGTTTGTCCTTCGACGCGCCGATCAGCGGCGGAGTGTAGCTTCGATCCGAGTCCTTCTTCGTCAACTTGATCGGTATAGTCGACGAGGGTACGACCACGAATCTCTTCCTCTTGTTACGTACGATTATCCCCAGCAAGAGATGCGGCCTGTGCTCTTCGAAACCAGGGCCGTTCAGGGGCAACAGGACCGGCGGTATCGTGCTTTGACTCGAGAAAGGCATTATATAGAAATCCTTGATATTCTTCGAAACGTTCCCAACTACCCCGAGCCGACTCCTGCTGTTCAAGTAACTGTACAGCGTTATGTAGGGAATCTTCTCCTCGTCGTTCGCGGCGGTCAGACGAATCACTAGAATTTCTTTCGAGCCCGTCTTCTTCATCTTTGAGATGTAATCCCATACAGTCTCGTGACTTATCCTACCGACCACGTCCACCGTGTCCGGCAGATCGTCCATCAAGTCTTTCGCGTGACCGCTAACTTCTTGCGCGGTAATGAAAAACTTTGCAACGTCGACCATGTTAACGAACCCCCTCCAAACCGTTTGCCACCCTCCCTTCGAGGAGTCCCTCTCGACGGTAGTGGAATCTTGTTCTCTATCTCTGTCCGCGTCGTCGTTGATATCCGGAGTCTTGATCGTAACGGTCGAAGTTGGTTCCCTGTCCGATACGTCGGAATCGTTTCCGTCGATGGTGTTGGTGGTGGCTTCGTCCTCTATGTGACGCCAAAGACGGTCCTCGATGGACTTTTCCGTCGATCCCCCAGCTAAACCGACAGAATCCTCCTTCTTCTCCATGTCTCTCCTTCTCTCGTCCTCCCGTCTATTATCGAGTTCCTTCGATTCGCAGTACACAAAGCCAACATTACCAGCACGATTTCTCGAATTGTTCTCGTTATTCCGATGTCGTTCTCGCTCCCTTTCCTTCTCTTTCTCCTTCTCTTTCTCTTTGTCCTTCTGTTTGCTTCTTTCTTTGCTGCCTCTCTCCCGAACCTTTGTTTTCTCGCGATCTCGGGTTCTCGATCGATCGCGGTCCCGATCTTTCTCCTTCTCGCGATCCCTTTCTTTCTCACGCTTGCTCTCCTTCTCCCGCGATTTCCTCTCTCTGCTCTTCTCTCTGGTCTTACTGCGCTCTCTGTCGTCTCTGCTGTGCTTGTGCCTGCCCCTACTGGTACTTCTGTCGCGTCTGCCGATTCCTTTCGACCGATTACCATCCCTCTCGCGACCTCTCTCTTTATCCTTCACCTTGTCTTTCTCTCGATTCCTCTCCTTCTCCCTTTCTTTGTCTTTCCTCCTCTTCTCGTCGAAACTCTTCGACTTCTTCGCATCTTCCTTCACCTTCGATCGTTCCTCTTCGCTCGTCTTTTCTGCCTCTTTGTCGGCGTCGTCCACGGTTGACGTTATACTGTCTGCATTATTCAATGCCGTGACAATGTCCTGCACCGGAGTTTTCGGATCGACGTGATCGATACCCCCATCGTTTTCAATAATCTGTTCACCTTTATGGGTTTTCACAACGATAGACTTTGCCTGCGCCATTAAATCCAACTCGTTCTTCTTAATCATTTCCAATTGGTGTTTCGTTTCCTTTTCCCGCCATTCGGCCAACTCTTGGCTTGCCATTTCATCGGGACTCAGCCTTACCACAGCATCGGGAGTTAACGATCTGTCTGCTATCTTTCGAAATAGCGTTAAATTTTTCGTATCTTTTATATTAAATACGAGACTTCTGTACTTGGCTTTATACTTTGCTCCGGTGTCTTTAAAGTATTTGTACAGCTCCAACTCGATATTGAAAGCTAGATCGGCGATCTCGTCGTCGCTCAGTTTCAAATCTTCCGTTTCTTTTATACGACTTGACAATAATTCGGTCAACGTTTTTCTTATATTCAATCTTATTGGTTCGGTTTCAGGTTTCTTCGGTGGGCTCAACTTTACTTGCTGCTTCGATTGTACCGCTGGTTGCTTTGCATCTGGCCTTTTCACGAGTTGAGTTTGCTTAGGTGACGGTACACCCGGTTGCTTTAACTGTGCCGGGATACTGGATTTTGTCGTTGTTGTGGTTTTCAGTACAAAAGGACCTTTATTCGTATGAGTTAGCAAAGTTTGCTTTATCTGTATCGGTTTCGTGTTCATCGTTTGAACCTGTTGCTGCTGCTGCTGCTGCTGTTGTTGCAACTGTTGTTGCTGCTGCTGCTGCTGCTGCTGCTGTTGTTGTTGTTGTTGTTGTTGTTGTTGCAATTGTTGCTGCAGCTGTTGTTGTTGCTGGTGGTGGTGTGGCTGTTGCTGATGTCCTGTAGAGATTACTGTAAACTTTTTATTTCCTGTTGTTATAATCATTTGCTTCGAACCTGGTACTTTCGTGTACGTCATCTTTGGAAGATTTGGACCCTTTCCAGGCGATAACAGCGTAGATTTTACCTTGAACAGTATTTTTTTTATGTTTAGCATATCATCGAATACAGAATATGAAAACGGATCGACTGAAAGTATCGACTGATAATGAAACAATTCGAATACGAACCGTTTTACCAGGTAGTTGTGTATGAATTGTTGTGATTGTTTTCCCTATTTGTAACGCGCCGACATTATTCGCCCCAACTACCTCGAATGTAGGATTTTCTTTTAACCACGTACGCAAGTTTGATCTTGTTGGTGCATCGACGCCTAAAACATTTATAATTCGTATCTAATCACTCTGGTGATACCAAACAGAAACAGTTATTGTGATATAAACAATTACGTAGGTAAAAGTTCACTGTGTGCTTTTACGGGTAATTGTTCGCTTACCGCTCAATACTTTGCCTGTTTTTCTTTCGAAAACTATAACTCTACTCTCAGGCTTCGACTTGGTAGAAACGTCAAGCGGTAGTGTCCTCGTTCCTTTTGGAGTCGCCGTTGAGCCCGTCGACAATGGTTTGTCTTTGGTGAGAGTCTCTTGAGCGTGCGCGAGTATACAAGCGTCGGAACAATAAATGCTAGAATTTCTTGCCTCTTTTTTGCAAACAACACACTGCATACCGCTCGAGTATTGAACATCGTTGTAATCGGAATTAGATGGGATCGAGGTTGAGGTTTCGCCGACAACGGATATCTGGTTAGGGGAACCAAGATTCTTTAGAACAATCGAGTTATCGGTCGCAGCGACACCCGATTGAATACGTTGCTTTCCGAGTACACTGTGCGCGTTCGTTTTAGTTTTCAATTCCTCCTCCTTTTTCTTCGAGCAATTTGGGCACACCCATTCTATTCCTTTTTCTTCCATCTGTTGACCTGGATAAAATAAACAGATACTCCGATTAAATTCCTATCTTTGACAACTTTCCGAGTCTACTAGGTTTCTCAATCTTACCCATAGCTTTGCTAACGTGCACGCACTTTCCGTGAAACCAGTCTTCGCATACATCGCAACAAATCATGAAGCGATTGTTATGCGGTCGTTTGCATATGCACCAAAGCCTGTCAGGATCATCTTCGGAATCTGAATTATCCTCCTCCTCCTCCTCCTCCTCTTCCTCCTCCTCCTCCTCCGCCTCCGCCTCCACCT